GATATATATATATATTTGGGTTTTCCAGATCACAATTAAATTTCTCGTAATTCTGTATCTAAGATGTATTATCTAAAACATTACCCCTTGATGTCAAGACCTGCAAATGAGCTAAAGAAATTACTGGTCAGTGTACCTTGTGCTAAAGTGGCGAAACCGAAGATATTCGTCATTTTTTATTTAACTGTAAATCATTTGATACAATCAGAGAGGCAGAATTAGCTATCTTAAAACAAGACCTTGAACTTTGCAATGAGACTGCAACTTGGAATAATTTTTCCGAATCTAATATTGTAATACATATATTTCTTTATATACGTATTTGGGTGGGGTCTACGTTTACTGTACACACGTAATGTGTATTATGTACATTATTTGTGTGGGGAGGGTGAGGGATGTTTATGATTTATTTAAACTCTAAATTGTATTTTCTTTAGTTAAGTTCTTTCATTTGTTTAGCTTTAAGTTGTTGTTTTCCTCTTTGTTCATTAGTTTAAATGAGTTTGACTGTTCAACTTCTTTGTGTGTTGCCACTGTTGTAAAAGTGTAATGTCAAATAAATATTTTTCATCATAGTTAGTACCGTCACGTGGGGCAAAGCAAGAAGAAGATCCTAAACAATGGCCACATTACCTCCCTATATTATATAATTAATATAATATAGTAAATTCAGTTCTAACTTTTCCAATTATAATTGTTTTGTTGTAAATTAGGTGTAGGTTGTGTAGACCTACTGTACTTTCAGTTTTTTAACATGATTGTATTGAAGGGGAAAGCTGTCCTGGATCCGCCAGTATGTACTGTAATATTAGTACAGTACACTGTATACCGAAACCTTCGTTTTAGGACCAATTTGCAAATGCGTTAATACTAAGATTCCCAAGTAAATTAGATTTAGATGTTAGATAAACATAACTGCAATATTATTTTTTAATCATTGCCTTTATCCCAATTTTAAGGTTATTCTGCCGGTTCGGTGGCATTAATTTAAAATTATGAATTATAGTCTTCCTCATATTTTACAAAGCACATTGTAAAATATATTTTGATACTCCGGTTACAAATGCGTGTCCAACGTACATGGGGAATTACAGAACACCAACAAATCTTTTTGAAATTTACAATGGCTGTGAAGAGTCTGAACTGAAATTTCTGCATGTTGATGCAAATAAGTTACTTACAGGCCTAGCCTATCGTTGTAAAAATCAAAACCTTGCATTAATATGGACTGAATTATGTTCACTAGTACTTGATAATTTCTTATATTCCAACAACAGAAGAAAAAAAAAACAACAGACATTGAATATTCACAAATCTCTCTTGAACTTTTGGGTGGCTCTGAAAAGAGCCGTTTGGTTTGAAATTGCAGATCAAGTAGTTTACTTGGAACTGGTGTATTTGGTGACAGCTTTGGTGCCTTCAGATACGGCATGTTTGGCCAATTCACCGGGCAGCAAGAGACGAACAGCGGTTTGGACTTCCCTGCTGGTGATGGTGGATTTCTTGTTGTAGTGAGCTAGACGAGATGCTTCACCGGCAATACGTTCGAAGATATCGTTGACGAAGCTGTTCATGATTCCCATAGCTCTGCTGGAGATACCAGTGTCTGGGTGAACTTGCTTCAACACCTTGTAGATGTAGATGCTATAGCTCTCCTTTCGCTTACGTTTTCTCTTCTTGTCGCCAGTTCTGACAGCTTTAGCCTTACCGGCCTTTTTTGCAGCTTTTCCTGAAGTTTTAGGAGGCATGTTTCGATTTAGTCTTACGAGTAGGTGAGTGACGAACTGTAAAGCGAGCACGGTATTTATATCGTTCGATATGCAAAGCAGGACTTCCCGGTCAACCGTATTATCTCAAGGCTTCTATTCCTATTGGATGTTGAAAGCGCGCGATTTATTGAATAGGCTATAGTATAATATTACTGATAGGCGTGTACACACATATAAGTATCTGTCTGAAGAGTATACGAAATAATGTAGTGGAAATTAAATAAGTAATCAAGTTTTGGCCTGCATCGAGCACTCTACTCTAGTCGATCTTGAACCTTACACTTCATAATCAAAACCTTACATTACACACACACACACACACACACATATATATATATATATATATATATATATATATATATAC